TAATTTTATTTTAGTTTTTTTAGTAAAGTAATACTTTATTTATTATTAAATTAAAGTATAATAAAATAATTAAAATATTATAAAAAGTTAATTTAGATCATTTTTTATTTAATATAAAAAAATTATAAAAATTAATTAAAATTTGAATAATTTTTATTAAAAGTAATTATTAATTTTTATATAGTATATTAATCTTCTTGCAATAATCTATATCTTGTTATTAGTATATCATAAAATTTAAATAAAATCTTTGCTTTTAAGATTTTATTATTAGATATAACTAAGCAGCTTGTATTTTTTAAATAAAATAATTCTTTTTTTATCTTAAAGTATTTTGTCTTAATCTATTATTTTGAATTTGTATTATTAAAATTTCTTTAAAACTTTATATATTTCTGTAAAGTATTTATTTTTCTGATATTTCTGAATTAACTCTTTCTTATTAATTAAATTTATAATAATAACTGAGATATTTGTCAAATATAATTGATAAGCAAATATATTTATAACTATATTATCTTTATCAGATTTATATTTTACTTTAAAATTACTAATTTGTAGAATTTCTAACCAGTGAGTCTATTTCTTGAAAAGATTATATTATATCTTAATATATTTTAAAAAGATATAGTCTGTAATAATAGTGAACTTTTTATCTTTAAAATTTTCAAAACTATATTTTAATTATAATTATATTTTTTGACAAGTTAATTAATTTAATTAATAATAAAACTTAAATTTGCTTATTTTTTTTAATATATCTCTTGCTTGAACTTTAAGATTAATTATATTTATTTTTTTTATAGTTACTTTCTCTTTTTATTCATATTATATATAAATAATAATAATAACAAAAACTATACGATAATAATAATAATAAAGATAAAAATTATAATAATAATAAAAGCTACAAAATAATAATAATAAAAAAAATAATAGCTATAATAATAATAAAAATAATAATAACTATAATAGATATAAATTTATATTATTAGAAATAATAATTAATAATAATAATTAAAGAAAAGTAATATAATTATATTTATTCAAGATAGTAAATATTATAAGAATATAAAAAAAAGCATAATTATATTATTAAAAATAAATTAATACATTATTATAAGATAGATTTATATTATATAAAGAAGATAAAAATATAAATACTAGAATATTCTTGTAGTTTATTAGTTTTATTAAAGTAAAAAAAATAAAAATTTATAGAAAAATAAAAAAAATATAAAAACTTTATTATTTTTTAAAGATCAATAAATGAATAAAAAAGATTAATAACTATATAATATTATTAAAAGAATTTTTAATAATATTATAAAAATAAATAAGATAATAAGATAGTTGGTATTATTTATTAAATTAAATAAATAAATTAATTTTGATAATAATAAAAATTATTATATAAAAGTTAATATTTAAAAGAGTATATTATATATATAAAAACTCAAATTTATATTAATAATAATATTAAGAAGAAATATATATATATATAATTTGAAATTAAAGTTAAAATTACTAATAAAAAGATGTTAATATTTAAGAAGTTAATAATAGAAAGAGATTATTATATATATATTCTTAAATATAACTATTAATTATTTATAAAAATTTAGTAATTAATTTTTTTTTCTATTTAATCATTATTAAAATAATAATTCTTTATACTTTTTATTAACTAAAAAAAGAGATCTTTACTTAAATCTGCCTATTTTATTTGTATTATTATTTGAAATTTTATTATTGAAAGTTTTTTTTGATTAATTATAAATTTACCTTTTTTTTTATCTTTCTTTTAAGTATAATTCACAAATTCTTGATTGGATTAATATTTGATAAGTAAGAAGATTGATCAAGAATTTGAATATTATAATAATAAAAAAGATTAATTATTTTATCTGCATTTTGAATTAAAAAGTTAACTTATTAAAAATTTAATTTATAACTTACTACAAAAATATAAGAAAAAAGATATATTTTAAGAATTTCTTGATTGATATTTTTTAGTATAAAAGTTTTTAATAAGATAAATATAATTGATTCTTGCATACTAAAAGCATCTCAAGCATAAATCTTATAAAGATACTTTATCATACTTTTATTTATTATAATATTTCATGATGATATCTTATTAACTAAGTATTTCTAAATATTTAGAAAGTTATTTCATCAGAGAAAATTATGTGAACCTAATTTTGATGGATATATTTCTGTGTTCATTCAAGATGAGCTGCAATATGATGAAGCTGTAAAAGAGAAATCCACAGTGGATGACAAACATCAAATCAAAGATTTTTTAAGATATATTGAATTGTACAAACAGAAACTTTCAAGTTAGAATCTTTTTGTTTAAGTCTTTCTGTCATTTCAGTTGTAGTGATAGCATTATTGATCTGCACCATTCAATCAAGAATGTGATGTTGTTCAACTGTGAGAATTGGAGATCTTTCAGTTCTGGAAAGTGACATAATACTTGATGATTTTTTAATTTGATTGATTATATCATACATTGTAAACTTAGGAAAATCTGTTATTCGCACAATTTCTGCAGGTTTCTGGATATTATTTGTCCAAAGCTGACTTACCACCATTCTTTGTGCTTCGTGCTTGGAAATGGGTGGCATTTTTTGCTAACGGGTGCAAAAACTGATGGCAAAAATGTTTACGTTGTTGTGTTTAGTTTAAAATTGGTAATGTTACGCGACGTTTTGTGTACCAGAACGACATTCGAGTATTTATGTCGACCACTATACTAAATGATTTTATAAAAAGCTGTTTATCAATTACGAAGAATGATCAATCAATAATGATCAATAGATCGAACTCAAGCATCCAATGCGTTTCGTCACACACTTTATAAATTTTCTCATTTAACGTTAATTACCAAATATATTTTTTATCTTGGATAGTAATATTTGATTAGATTGTTTTTTTAAATTCGAAATGTTCTTTCGTAAAAAATTAATTGATGTGTAAATACATTCTATAACTTGCTAATGTTGTTACACATTAATAAATTAAAGTTAATGACTTTGAACTATTTAATCAAATAAAAATCAAATTTAAGCTGAAAGAGATGAATAAAGTCATTATTAAACTTTCAAATATTTCATCAAGGAGAAGAAATGAATCAGCACTTGAAATAAGATTATTGTTATTTGGTGAAATACTATTTGTTGCAGCAACTACCACTTTAGATGACGAAACAACAACTTTAGATGAAGCTACAACGGTGGTAATTACTTTCGTGGAAGAATTTTCAGTGGTAGTAATTAATAATGTGGCGGAAGTTGCCAAAGTTGATGTAAAATATTTTACAGAGGTGATGGAACTGGGTGCAATAGTAGCAGAATTTGGATTTCCCTGCGAAGTAGGTGAATTATTCTCAGTAATTGTTTGTGTAAATACTTCGGTTTGTGGTTTTGACTGAGAATTAAAGTCATTATTTTTACTCTCAGTTTGCTGAACGGATTGATATGCAACTTAGTTGTAATTTTTAATACTTACTGTTGCAGGTGTATTATTTCCGGTGTCGGTTTGCGGTGGATTTTGTTGATTATTATTATTATTAGCTGGTGCAGGTTGGTTATTTCCAACATTGGCTTGTGGCGAATTTGGCTGATTACTGTTATTACCGCTATTTCCCGAGCTAAAATGAAACAAAATCAAATAACTTTAATAAAAATATCTAAATTCTTCGATTTGACGAAGTTTATATATAGAAACATTTATTGTAATGTACTTTTGATTTGTAGAATTTGGCAAAGTGGGAAGTACATTCGTATTTGTAGCCGGCGGTGTAGCTGCTCCATTTCCATTTGAAGTAGATGAAATAGGTTTTATAGCAACTGTAGGACTGTTTCCTTGGTTTGGATTTGTAAATGTTGGACCATTATTATTTCCGTTATTACCATTTCCGTTATTATTACCTCCAGGTGGAGTTGGCAAGATAGGAATAGACGTCGACGTTGTATGACTAACACTAAAACAAGATGATCATATCGATATTAAAATTAAAAAAATCACAAGTCTTGACGAGTACGTATACTTTTACCTTTGTTGAGCTAAAACATTAACGAAGCACATTAACAAAAATATTATTATTTTGAGAATATTCATTTTATAATTCGATATTTTTTGGGCAGAATTTTTTTTAGTTTTGTATGTGCATACATGTATATAATAATCAATAAGCCTCCGTTACATGTGATATGTTGTATCTTCCTCGTTAACATACCAAACTTAAATGAAAAAGCATATTTTAGCGTGTAATCTTTTGAGTGCATGTACATGTATTAATTATGGGGCACAATTTATCATTGGGGATATGTGCCACATAACAATACGTATATTGCATTTATGTTTGTGAAACAGTAACATTTTCAATTCAAGAAATTACTGCGGCACATAATGAGATATTTTTTTATGAAATGCAATTACATGTATAATAAAATATTTTCAATATCAAAAAAAGTAACAAACTAATAAAAAATTGAATTTATACAATGTAAATATATTTAAATAACTGTATTTTTGAATTTCTTTTTACTTATACTGCTAAAATATTAGTTAAATCAGATAAAGATAATTTAGTATTATTTATTTGCATCATTATTAATTTTTATTTCAGTAAGAGTTCTACTCGATTCGAAATTAACACAGAAAATGCCGATATTATTTGAATAAAATGATATAATATTCTTATATTTAGAAATATAACAATATTTTATATATTTTTAATATTTATTTTATAAGAACTATATTATATTAATCCATGTAAAAATCAACAAATATCAAATATTATAAATTTTATTATATTTATAAATATTTAATATACAGTTAGATCTTCTTATATTCATCTTTTATATAGTCACAAAAAATAATATAATCATAATTTTTTTATTTTCAATTTAATTATAAATTATAAGAAATTTGATCTTTACATAATTATAATCTTTTATAATTATAATTTTATATTTCAAAATATAATTGTATTGAGAAATCTAATTATATTTATAATATTACGGAAATATTTTGTAATATAAGAATAGAAAAATAAATAAATGTAAATAAAAAAAAATAAATATATAAGTAACAAATATAAATATAAAATATTATATTAAAATTTGTTAAAATATAGTTAAATTTATTAGTTTAGAATTTTATATTATTCTTATTCAAGTTATAATTATAATTACAAATAAAAATATAATAATATTATTTTTAATTAATATTTTATCTTTTATAATTCATTTTTTAAAATTATAAAAAATAATAAAAATAATAATTAAAATATATTGAAAAAATTATTAATTTTTTTTAAAATTATAATAATAATTTAATTTGAAATTTTAAATAAATAATATTAAATTATATATTTAAAATTATTAATTTTATTATAATTACTTATTTATTTAATTATATTTTTTGTAATAAGTAATTAATTTTTAAATTTTATATTAATTAAATTAGGTAATTTAACAAATCAAATAAACTAATATAATTTTAAGCAAAATAAATTTATAAAAAAAATTAAGAAGATATAAAAAGAAATTAATATTAAATTTTAAGAAAATTAATATTAAAAAAAATTATAATAATTTTGATTAAATTCTATTCTTTTTAGTTTAGATCTTTATTTTATACTATTTATATTATATTTTATAATTTATATTATATATTTTAAAAATTATTTTCATTCTGAATATATAAATAATTATTATATATTTAATTAATTTAAAATTACATATATTATACAAATAATCACTATATATTTCTTAATTTCAAATTTGAATAATTAATATTTTTAATTAATTTATTATCAATTATTTCTTTATATTTTTATTTATTCTTTTATTATTATTATTTATATTATTTTTAATTATTATTAATTTATTAGATTATAATTCATTATTCTTTAAGAATATAAATTAAGTTAATTAATTATATTAAATATATATATATATTTTTATTATTAATTTATTTATATTTTATATTTATTTTTTTATTATAAATATAATCTTTTTGTAATTTTATCTTAGATCTAAATTAAAGATAATATCTTAATTAATTACAACTTGTAATATCTAATTAGAAAATTATAATTTAATTATAATTTAATTATGCTAGTTAATTAGAAAATTATAATCAAGTTATAACTAATTATAATTCTACTTTTAATTTAAATACTATTTAAATAATAAAATAATAAGTATTTATAAACTAAAATTATTTATTTTATATTTTATCTTATTTATAATCATAAATAAATAATCTTATAACTTGATAATAGTAAATATAATTATTAAAATATTATTTACTATATCTTAAATTATATTTTATATATATCTTAGTTTTAATTATTTAAATTTTAAAAAGATAAATCAAGCTTAATTTATATAAGATATAATTGAACTTATTAATATAGTAAAAGATAATAATTCTAAATTTTTATTTCATCTTTCTATTAAATTATTTATCTATTTAAAAGAACTAAATAAGAATATACTTATTTAAATAATATAAGTAAAATTTATTTTTTTAGCTCAAGAAATTACAAAAAAAATACAAGTATAATATATCATTATCTTTTTAATTAATATAACTTTATATTAATATCTTAACAAGTATAAAATAAATAATAAAATATTATATTATATAAGTAATAGAATATTTTTATTATTACTCTCAGATATATTTTAATTATTATATTATTAATAATATTTTTATTATTAACTATACTAAAAACAAAATTATAATTAATTATAACTTGATCATAATTTTTTGAGATAGTTATCATAATTAATTATAATTAAATTATAATTCTCTAATTAGATATTATAAGTTATAATTAATTAAAATATTATCTTTAAATTATATCTTCTTTATCAAATCAAATCTGTATAAAATTATAATATAAAATTTAAAAATATAATTAAATAGATTATAAATATAAATAATTTAAATTAAGTTACTTACTTTATTAAAAATCTTAAATTTATTATTAAAATAAAAGTTAATTATTAAATATCAAAAAACTTAAAAGATATCTGAAAATTAATTATTTGTTATAATATTATTATATATAAACAAGATAAATATCAAGTAGATATAATAATAATTATTTATATTATTATGATATGAACTTTTAGTAGAAATTAGTTAATTATATTTTATTGATCACTTCATATCACAATATGATTAGATAAATAATTCTTTATATCTTATTGAACATCAGCTTTAGAGAATATTATTTGTAGATATTTTTAGAAAGTTTTGCAAATATAATGATCATAGCAAAATTATCATAGCAAAGTTAGCAAAATTATCATAGTAAAACTAATAATACTATCATAACAAAACCAACATTATGATACTAGCTAAAGTAATATTTAGATCATAGCAAAACTAGAATAAGTATTATAATAAAAGTATTATTTATATAACCTCTAAAATATATAAAAGTGATGTATCTTAGCTAGTAAATTTAAATAATTAAGAAGACAGACAGTTAAGTAGTCAGATAATTGGTTATTTAGTTTAGTTTAAGTTTTATAAGTTTAGTTCTCAATTTGTATATTAGTAGATTATAGTTTTAAGAGAATTCTAAGAAATCTCTCTTGTAGAATAGATCTTGATTAAGATCTATTAATTCATCTTATTAATAAACTGAACATTATATCCATCTTGAAATTATATTTTGGAATTGGACTACATTCTAGCTAGTCATCACAAGAACACTATCATTACCTATCTTTAGATTAATTTTGAAATAATAAGTAAATATATTCTTGTCAATAAACCTTTTAAAGACTCTCCCAAACATCACTTTAAGTACATGATCACTTTTATCATATTCTTTTGTAATATTAGATTTAATACTCATCCCTAAAAATGGCTCCTCAACTAATTGCGGCTTGCAGCAGCCAATCAGAGAATTGTGACAGAGTTACGGCTAGTTGCGGCTCCATCTCTACTCATCCCCACCTC